AATTGACCAGCCTGACCAAGAAAGAGACCCTGTAGCCACAAAAAAAAATTAGAAAACGTTAGTTGGGTGTGGTGGCATGAGACTATAGTCCCAGCTATTCGGAGGCTGAGAAAAGAGAAAAAAGTATACAGTTGGATGGGTTTTGAAAATATATACACCTATGAAAAAACACCTACATGAAGATACAGAATATTTATATTATTCCCCCCAATTCTTTCTTGCTCCTTTGTTGTCCATCACTGATATGCTTTGTGTTACTATAGTTTTGCCTGTTCTGAAATTTCATGTACAGGAGCTGGTGGGGTGGTTCATACCTATAATCTTTAGTACTCTGGGAGGCTTGGGTGGGTGGATTGCTTAAGCTCAAGAGTTTGAGACCAGCCTGAGAAACAGTGAGACTCCATCTCTACTAAAAAAAAGAAAGAGAGAGAGAGAGAAGAAAAGAAAGAAAAAAGAGAGAGAAAGAAGGAAAAGAGAGAGAGAGAAAGAAAGACAGAAAGAAAGCTCCTGTAGTACAGTGGTTACAGCACCAGCCACACACACTGAGGCTGGTGGGTAAGAACCCAGCCTGGGCCAGCTAAACGACAATGACAACTGCAACAAAAAATAGCTGGGCGTTGTAGTGGGGGCATGTAGTGGGAGACTAAGGCAAAAGAATCACTTAAGCCCAAGAGTTGGAGGTTGCTGTGAGCTGTGATGCCATGGCACTCTATCCAGGGTGACACAATGAGACTCTGTCTCAAAAAAAAGGAAGGGAGGGAAGGAGGAGAGAGAAGAGGAGACCAGAGAAGAGAAGAGAAGAGACAGAAACGAAACTAGCTGGGCGTTGTGGTGGGCACCTATAGTCCCAGCTATGTGGGAGGCTGAAGCAAGAGGATCGCTTGAGGCCAAGAGTTTGAGGTTGCTATGAGCTATCATGAAACCATGATACTCTACCCAAGGCAACAGAGTGAGATTCTGTCTCAAAAAATGAAATAAATACAATAAAATTTCATGTACAAGGAATAAAACAGTATTTATCTTGAGCAAATATCTGGGAGTGGATTTGCTGGGTCATAAGATAAGTGTATGTTTGATTTTAGAAGAAACTGCCAAGTTGTTCTCCAAAGTAGCATACATACCATTTTACATCCCCCCAGAAACATGAGAGTTCCGGTTATACCACATTCTCCCCAGCACTTGGTATTATCTGTCTGTTTGTATTATCTGGATGTGTACAGATATCTCACTGTGATTTTTTTTTTTTTTTTTTTTGGAGTTTTTGGCCGGGCCTGAGCTTGAACCTGCCACCTCTGGCATATGGGGCCAGTGCCCTACTCCTTTGAGCCACAGGCGCCGCCCCTCACTGTGATTTTTGATATCTCAAATGTGATTTGCATTTGCCTGATGATTAATGATGTTGAACAAACATCTTTTCACGTGCTTGTTGATTGTTCACATATCTTCTTTGGAGAAGAATATTTTTTTTTTTTTTTTGAGACAGAGCCTCAAGCTATCCCCCGGGGTAAAGTGCCATGGCATCACAGCTCACAGCAACCTCCAACTCCTGGGCTCAAGCGAGTCTCCTGCCTCAGCCTCCCAAGTAGCTGGGAC